GATTTAGGGCTTGTTCCGTTCGGTTTATTAATGTTAAATAACAATTGCCAAACAGGTGGATCATCGTACGTTATCGTCATCCGATTGATAAATAATGGATTTTAAACAATTGTATTAGTTTAGTCCATTTTTAAGTTTTAATTACTGCGCAAACAGATTTCAAATATCATCGGTAATTTAAATATCGCGTTATAAATGAATAGCGCCAGAGACTTAGAACTTGTACTGTTTGATTATTAATCTGTAAAAGAAACATAGACAGTATTTATATTTATGAAAACATCGAGATTAGTAATTGCATTTTTATCTGTTCGTGCTTTTTCCGCATCCTCACTATAACTTAAATGAAAATTTTGTAATCGTTATTTATTTCTGCGTCTATAAGCGTGAGTTTTCCTATGGACGTCGCCATGTTTTTACTGCAACTGCCTCACCTCGCCAGCCGCAGTAATCGAAGCAGGACGTGACGACAAAATCTATGACGTCATATGCATGCAAAAGCACTCTAAAAGTTTACTGCGACGTATATCGGAACAGCATTTGCAGTGCTGCCAGTACTGCAAGTGAATATCGGAACGCACCCTATTTGGGCGGAGTCAGTTCATTCCAAAATACATAGTAAATGTACTCAGAGTTAACTTTTCCAATCCTGGCTGCGAGGTGGGTTGAGAGAGTAAATCTAAGGTATTCTAGAGAAAGGCGCGCCATTTCTAAAATTGTATCGGCAAATAAATCCTTCATCACTGTAAGTATAACATTTAACAGATTTTTTAATTCTATAATTAATAAATCAAGATTTTTTTATTTACTTTATTTTGCCAACATTTTAAAAAACAGTTTATAATTGAGGTGCTATCTAATAAATTTTATTGCAATAATTAAGTGTCGGTATTGTTTAGTGCTAGGTTAGATTAATAATTGTATTCAAAAAATCTATTTTGATCCTTATTTATTATATTTTATATATCTTGCAGTTGACTTGTTGCCCACAATGGAAGTTCCCAATTTAGTAAAAGGAGTACACATGTTGGTAAAAAAACCGGACGGATCTCCATTTAAAGAAAATGATTCATTTTGGGTTATGGATACAACAAGTAAGATTTAATTTTATATACGTACGTTATATAATTGCAGTAAAAAAAATTTATATTAAAGCAAAAAAGCAGAATGCGAAAAAGCAGAAGCTATTAGAAATCAACTAGAAGTTGCACTCCAACCAAGTAAATTGAGTGTAACTTTTAATTGATTTCTAACAGTTTCTGTTTTTCCGCTTTATAATGTGAATCTCTCCTTATATAAATTAGTTTTTTTTATTTAATTCTGTATATTCTGCATATTGTATTTTTAGATAATATCATATTTGCTGTATGGACATACTACAAACAAGAAATTTTTTTAAAGAAGATATCCCAGAATTTTGTCAGCAGAAAGGTAATCTTAATAATATTCTAACTTTCTTATTCTTAATTTTTATATCTTGTTTGCTATAATTTTTATTAACTGTAAAAATTATAAAGTTTAATAATAATATTAATGTTTGCAGACTCAGAAATTGAAGATAATGTTACTACAATAGTAACCAAAAATCTTTCTTGTGATAAATATGGAGAACATGGTAAGATATAAAATATATTAATAATTATGCTACATTATTTTTATTATAAATATAATTAAAGTATTAAGAAAGATTTACATACGTTATTACTTGTATTTCTAATATATAATTTATTTAAAAAATGTATTGTATTATGTTTGCATTATTTTATATATTATTTTATTGGCTAAGAATTATGTATATTTAATTTTTATATTGCAGCTACATGGGAACATGCGGCAATTATGCTTCTCTTTTCATTACGAAAAGAGAACGATGATTTATTTAAAAGCGATAAAATCAGAAATGATGTTGCATGGAAGAAGATTGCCGAATCTTTTAGAGAAAAAGGTTACATGTATACTACCAAGCAAATAGAAAATAAATGGAAAAATTTACGAAAAAATTATATGAAAGTAAAAGATAATAATAGTAAATCTGGAGCACCATTAAAAACATGTAAATATTTTGACGAAATGGAAGAAGTGTACGGAACATCTCCTAGTGTGCAACCTGTGGCTGTTGCTTCAAATCTTTCAGAAAAAGATGTGTTTCTCTCGACAGATGAAGAAGAAAAACTTGATGAAGATATTACAGTGCCTTTAAAGAAAAGTAAGATAGAAAAACAAATGGAAATGTGGACAAAATATTTTGACGAAAGTAGAAAGAAAAGAGATGCAGAAAAAGAGGAAGCAAGAGAGAGAAGGTACAAAAAGAGGATTGAACAACAAAAAGAAGCTTTGGACACATATAAAGAAAAAACAATTAATTTGTCATATCGTGTTACATTAAAGAACTCAGTATTCAAATGTTCAAAATCTACTCTTATTAAGGATTTGCAAAATTACAATAAATTTAAATATTACAATAGATTGTAAAATATATAGTTGCAAAAGATCGGAAGAGCACACGT